TAAACGCAAACATCAAATAGATGTCTCCATGATGTATGTGTGCTATCAAGGATGGGTTGCCTCTGCGGGTTTTTCTTTTTTTTTTGGTTAAGTGGAACAGAGTACCACTAATTTTGGGCCAGTTTTCTGATAATTTAATATTTTTTAATCACAGTTTTCATTTAAGCACTCTAAACAAACATAACACATATGTCCATATGACAACAGGTAATGTATAATAATGTTTACATTTGTAATAAAACCTAATTACTATATTGCAATAAACAAGTTAGACTTGTTATAACAGTTCTTTATTTGTCAGATGCAACTGTCTGTCATGGGGAACAATAATAAAAGTAATCTTCCTTATTTCACATGACTTTGTGAAATACCAGACTTTCAAGTTGTTCAGCTCACAACAAACTCATGCAGAAACATGACGCGTGACAAATGAAAACAATGTGTTCTAAAATCGGTGTGTTCAATGTGCTCTGAAAACGTCAAACATGTTTGATATCCTCCGACTGGATGGAATCATAATCTGAAGCTAAAAAAAAAATCGGAGTCTGTGACCATCATATACTACACGATTTTCTATTAAATCTGTCAACTCAAATCTGCAGACTGACTGGCTCTGACTTTCGGCAACTAGCGTCAACTTCTCCAGACTGTTATAAAGTCTGATTAATCAGTCCTTATTTTTTTCAGCCTCACCGAGTGTAACTCCCTCAGCAGAGCTCCTGAAGGATATGAGAGGCAGCACAGGGCCTGGAGGAGGTGAAATCACAGACTCGCAGGAAGGAGCCAGTCCACACAGTACAGTAGGGGGGTAGAGAGCACCAGTAGAAGCAGGTGGACATGACTGCATCAGCTACAAGTTATGAAACAACAAGAAAACACAAAGATGAAAGCATTCGTCCATTAAAAGCTTCAAAAAAATCCATCCTAAAATATTTGGTGACATCTAAACTTAAATGTTCACACACTGTCGCCCCCTGCTGCTGGGCTTCCTGAACTGCAGCATCTATAAGATTCCTGTCAGTCTCAGTGGCAAGTGGAACACACTTCATCCCAGTCATTCTTAACTTCAGCTAAATAAAAATTAACTAAAATAAAATGAAATAGTCATTTTATTTCAGCTAGTGCCAAGGAAACATTTCTCAGTTAGTTTAACTTCATGTATTAAAACATTAAAAAAAAAACTATATAGATATATTTGACAAACAAAACCAATCAAATGATAAAACACAAAATGAATAAACCTAACTAAAATTACAATGGAAAATATAATAAAGGTAAACCAATGAAAAAGGTTTAAAAAAAATACACCTCCCACACACACACAATTTCATAGGGAAGATGTTCAAAACACTGTCAATCAATACTAAGGTCAAGTACAAAATTGATTTTTCAAATTAATTTACAACTTTCAGTATTATCTTTAAATGTGAAACATGTAGTTTATGTGCCATTAGGGCTGCATCAGCAACAAAGCAATTTTTTGAAAGCACCACAGATTTATTACTGTCAACACAAGTTAACAAATGCCTTAACTGCTGCTGTCTGCAAGTTATTAAAAAAAAACATAAAAATGTTATCTTTTTTTATGTCACTTCATTCATCCTTTGAATGTCTGGAGAGTATATGAAACTCAGAAAAGAAAGTATCATATTATTGTTCATATATTATGTATCATATAATTTTTTAAGAGAAAGACTCACCCATAGCTAGAGCTGGCAAAACCTTAAGCAGAAGATAGTAGACGGAACAGTCATCTGAAACAACCACTGCCACAACGCCTAGTGGAGAGACAAAACATGAGATGAGACTTGCAACCATGCCTCCTACTTACTTCTTTCTCTCACTCATATACACAAACAAACGCTGGCATACCTTGTGGGATCCACTCAGGCATGAGCGTGTCTCGTAGTTGAGCCCAGCTGGCATAGTACTGGGCCAGTCTAATGAGCACAGCAGGAGAGGTAGAAGACTGAGAGAGCTCACACAGCTCAGATACACACTGACTGTGTCTTTGCAGGACACTCGCCAACCTTGGGCACAGACATATATTCATAATGATGTAACATGACTATTACTGTGATATACGCTTGATACAAGATTTCAGATGCTCAGCAGTCCATGATTGTCGTCTGATTCTCCTTTTCATGACTGTGACTTAAAATATGATGTCATATACTTATTTGACTTAAAATATGATAACTATGGCAATAATCAATAGACTAATCAATAAGGTGATTGTTTCAATGATTGTTCCAATATTGGATGTCTCAATACAGACTGTGTGTCTCGGGTGCCCTCCAGTGAGCGGTACAGGTGTTTTCCACTGGACAGTACCAGTGAACTTAAGTGAGCAAGTGAACTTTGGGTGATTTCCACAGTATGACAGGTACAACACAAACAAGTTTGATGTATGTCACATGGGGACGATTCCAACCAATAGGAGACGGCGGAATACAATTATTTAAAAAATGGCCGATCTGAGAAAATGTCAGGAAGAGCATTAATTAATTGTGGCAAACCAGACAAGCAAAACCAATAAAAAAAACAGATTACCAATTTTTGGTTAAAAATGACTGATAAGAACAGGGTATAAGTATGGGTGCACGGTCAGACAAAGACTCTGTGACTGTCATCTCTGCTTTGTTGCTCTGTTCAATAAAATCTTATTTTGACATCTGGAACTCTGCTTCTTGAACTTCATTTACTACATTGAGGAGACCTTTGCTTGCTCCATGACACTGGTTGTACATTTTCAATAGGAGACAGATCTGGACTGCTGGCAGGCCAGTCTAGCGCATTCAATCTGTGTCTACAAAACCACACATTTGTAGCACATGCAGATTGAGACCTGGCATTGTCTTGATCTAATAACCCTGGACTTCCCATGAAAGACGTTATCTTGATGGCAGTATATGTCTCTGTACAATCCCAACATATGCCTCCATGTCAATGGTACCTTCACACATATGCCAGTCACCCATGCCGTTTGCTCTGCTGCACCCCCATACAATGACAGACGTTTGCTTTAGCATCTGTTGCTGGTAAAAGTCTGGATGGTCTCTTTAGTCTTTGGGACTGAGAACTCAACGTCCATTTTATCCAGAAACAAGTTGAAATGTGGACTCATCTGACCACAGCACACATTTTATCTGTCTTTTTATCTGAGATGAGCTCTGGCCCAGAGAACCTCGCAGTATCACTGCCTAGAATTTATTTATTGCTTTCTTCTAGAGTAACAGAAATTCAAGTTGCATTTATTGATGCAGCGGCAGACTGTGGTAAATGACAGCGGTTTCTGATGGACTCCTGAGCACATGTGGCTATATTTAACACCACAGCATGATGGTTTCTTATGCAATGCCATCTGAGGGCTCAAAGGTCATGCACATTCAACTGAGGCAGGGATACTAGAAACTTCCAGGCAGGTGTGTTGAGGCAAGTTGGAGCTAAACTCCAGGACTAAATTCGGACACCCCTGCCCTACACAGACTGAAATTTCTCTGGATTCCCTGAATCTTTTCACAATATTATGTATGGTAGTTGGTGAAAGACCTTAATTCGTTGCGATTTTGCATTGAGAACTGTCATTTTTTTATTTGTTTGACACTTACAGGTGCATCTCAATAAATTAGAATGTCGTGGAAAAGTTAATTTATTTCAGTAATTCAACTCAAATTGTGAAACTCGTGTATTAAATAAATGATATGCACACAGACTGAAGTAGTTTAAGTCTTTGGTTCTTTTAATTGTGATGATTTTGGCTCACATTTCACAAAAACCCACCAATTCACCATCTCAACAAGTTAGAATACTTCATAAGACCAATAAAACATTTTTTTTTGTGAATTGTTGGCCTTCTGGAAAGTATGTTCATTTACTGTACATGTACTCAATACTTGGTTGGGCCTCCTTTTGCATGAATTACTGCATCAGCGCGGCGTGGCATGGAGACAATCAGCCTGTGGCACTGCTCAGGTGTAATGGAAGCCCAGGTTGCTTTGATAGCGGCCTTCAGGTCATCTGCATTGTTGGGTCTGGTGTCTCTCATCTTCCTCTTGACAATACCCCATAGATTCTCTATGGGATTCAGGTCAGGCGAGTTTGCAGGCCAATCAAGCACAGTAACACTGATTGGTCACCAGGGTCATTGAACCAGCTTTTGGTGCTTTTGGCAGTGTGGGCAGGTGCAAATTTGGCACAAAGCGATGAGCCATGATCCAGCTTTACTTGCAAAGACTGAGATGCTCCTTTTATACCCAAACATGATCCCCTCACAGATTACCAATTCACCTACTTACTGTGAACCGTTTCAAAACGGTTCAATTTGGATATTCTATAACATTTTCACTTTCATATTGCCTCTGTCCTAACTTTTTTGGAGTTAGTTGCAGCCATACATATCAAAATGTGTTTATATTTACAAAATACATTTAAGTTGGTCAGTGAAAACTTTGGAAATCTTTTCTTTGTACTTTTGTCAATTAAGTAAATGTTAAAGATAATTAACAAATCACAGATTCTTGATTTTATTGCATTTTACAAGAAATCCCAACTTTTGGAGTTGTATCATCAATGGACTTGAAATGTATTGTAAGTAATAGAATGTCTCCTATGCTATACTAGGTAGCAATAAAATCTTTTTTTGGAAAATCTAAATGCCATACTGACTAGATTGTAATGTAATAATGGCTGTAGTCAGAATCCGAGTGCCATTTCATACCATTGTGAATGTCATTTGAGGAAAGTTGTAATGAAATTATGGCCCGGTTTCACAAACGGGGCTTAGCTTAAGCCAGGACTAGGCCTCAGTTAAATTAAGATATTTAAGCAACTTTTACAAAAATGCCTTAGAAGAAAACATTACAGGTGTACATCTCGACACAGAACAATGACACTGACATATTTTAAGATATGTCAGAGCAAGATATTTTCAGTTGAGACAGCTCAAACATGCATTTTAGTCTGGGACTAGTTTAAGCCTTGTCTGTGAAACCGGGGGTATAAGTGTTAAATTATGTTTTTCATGTTTATTTGAGGTAATTGTGATTCTGTGATGGCATAAACATTTGATTCATATGCAGTTAACAAATAAAATGTCTTTCAGGGTGGTAAAACATGAGGTGACGAGCGTAGCAGCCGAAGTGCATGCAGCCCCACCAGCCCTGCCTGAAGCTCGACCAATAAGCAACTGCCAGGACCAAAAGCTTGTTGAACAGTTGGCGAAGACCATCAAAGTGATCGGTGATAGGCTCGATCAGGATAAGTCATTCAATGAGTCAGTCTGAGATCTGAATCTTTGTCTGTCTTTGCTGAACATCAGTGCTGCTGTCTGTACTGCATTTAAAACACCAGGTTTCACTTTCTGTTTTTCTGACCTCACAGCATGATTGATGGCTTAGTAAAAGTGGCTGATAAAAGAAGTTTCTGGGAACTTGTGGAAAAGGTTTTCACAGATGGCCAGATCAACTGGGGGAGAATTATAGTGCTGTTTTATTCAGTTGGAAAACTGTCTGCAAAGGTATTGGATTAGTTAGATCCTACATGTCTGTTGTCTTTTTCAAATTTATGTTAATATATCTGTTGTTTGTAGACATGCATCTTTGTTTATATCTGCACATATATATCTCTTTCCTCTCAATAGATGGTCCTTGCACGCTTACCCACAATTGTTTCAGATATTTTGATCTTAAGTCTGGATTACTTCAGGAGGAATCTGTTGGAATGGATTCGCAAAATGGGAGGATGGGTAAGAAACAACAAAGACACATTTTTACATGAAAAAGCATTTGACTTTTGTTTTAATCTTGTTCTAATCTTGTTAGAAGATGTGTTGAGCAGTATTGATCACAATGTCATATCTAGGACATCTGCTTTGTTTGTACCCCTTAATACAGATGCACAGTATCCCTGCGCTGGCCTGTTTCTCCTTTGAGCAATTTTCTGGTTCTTCACTTAGTAAATATTCTTCCTATTTCGGAGCCACATTGGCCTTCACTGGTGGCCTACTGCTAGGTGGCTTCATCGTCTTGAAGTTTCCAAGAAATAGCTAAGAGAAAGAAAATGAAGATGCTGCAACAGAAGTGTCCATAACACTGAACGTGTGAGAAACCATGTAGCTTATATCTGTATTTTGTAATTTGCCCATTTTTTATTGTAATATGCCATATATATATATATATATATATATATATGTATGTGTGTGTGTGTATTTATACTGTTTTGTAAGAAAACATTTAATATGGTAATGCCAATTGATTTAAAGAAAGGTACATGTTTATTCAGGATCAGGACAGATTGTAGGGATAAAACTGAGCCTAAGCTTTTTATTGATAATTATCATATGACACACATGAGTACTTTTGTATAATCTGGCTTGTCCTCTTCCTTGTACATTTAAGTATTGTGCACTGAATGTGATTAAAGTCCCCATAATTTCTGAAAATGTATGTTTTTGTTTGTTTTATATATATATATAAAATAGTAATATATAGGCCTATGTACAGAGAGAGACATTTTCTTCTGAGCTACATTATAGTTTGAGGATGGCTGCTAAATATAGATTTGTTTTGGATGGAGACATGAAACGAAATTATGCAGTCACGTAAAACCGCTTTTTTTGTTTCGCTTTTATTTTCATTTAGCCTATAGTGCAATGCTAGCAGTGAAGATGCGGAACTGACAATTGTTTAACAATATATCAGCTTTAGACACCAAGACTACTAAAGCCTACTAAACCAGTTAGAGGTTTGCGAAATGTTTATACATTAACGTGAATGTATAGGTCACACGTAAAGACATCAAAAAGCCATCAAATCCTATCGTAGGACCAAAGAGGAAGATCATGCTTGCCATGTCAGGTATTCATATTTAACGAAACGGGCTTTTTTATTAATATTTCTTAACGTGAGCTCAGTAGCCTATAGTAACTAACATTTTACTTTTGTATGCAACGTTTAGATGACCAGTTTTCAACGAATCTTGTACTTCGGTAAGTTTCACACACTACATATTTAAGCCATGCTTATAACTTAATAAATACTAATAAATAATTTGTATAATATATTTTTTTTAAAAACCAAGTAACCAAACATAAAATCCAACAGAGACTATTTACTTGGATGTCATATTTTCCGGGTTACTCGTTGAGGCATTTTATTTGGCATTCATTTTGGGTAGCACTAAAGTGTCAGTACATAATTACCAATAGTTTCTTTTTTTCATAATTCAAATAATGTTCTCAGATCAGTGAAGGACCAGGTAGAGAGGGTGGGAACATGCGCACCGTCTCTTCCTGAGCCGCAGCCAATGAGTGATGAGCGGGAGCAGCTCCTGGAACAGATGGCTAGCCTCATCAGAGACTTCGGCGACAGTCTCGATCGAGAGCCAAAATTTAATGAGTTAGTGTTGAAATGTCTTTTTTGGTATGCGAGAATATTACTGTGTAATAATTATGGAAGTCCGTTTCTGCCTCTGAGTAAAAACATTACTTTATATTAATGTTAAAGTTAATGTTTGACAGTTTAAAGGGATAGTTCACCCAAAAATGAAAATTAGTCCATGAAAAAGAAAATTCCGTCATCATTTACTCACCCTCCACTAGATCGTTGTTTTCCTCCATACTATGGAAGTCTAGAATTGCTAACGTCAATTTTTGTTTAGTTACCACCATTCTTCAAAATATCATATTTTGTGCTCAACAGAAAAAAACAAAAAAACATAGCCTACAGTTTTGGAACAAGTGGAGTAAGCAAATGATTCATTTTTAGATGAACTATCTGTTTAATTTGCAGTTATGAGAAAGGTTGGCAATTTTGAGATAAAAAGACAACTAAATGTTGATCATGAGAAATGAAATCAAATTGAAATCGCAACACAAAGTTGCAATACAAGCTTCCAGTATAATGAAAGAGCAAATCTGTTTTATTAAAAGATGTGTTTGATTTCAGCATGGTTGATGGGTTTGCACGTGTGGCGGATAGACAGAGTTTCCAGAAGCTTGTAGACAAAGTTTTTGTTGATGACATCACCTGGGGGAAAATTGTTACTCTGATCTGTGTTGTTGGGAAATCCATTGCAAAGGTATGCAGTGCTCTTTTTATTTTACCTACTCTCATTTGTTTGTGTGTGTTTCTATATAGGAGTCATAAATACAGTACACATTTAAATGATGGATACATTCAATCCAGCTCACTTCCTATAAATTTCACAATTAATTTGTAATGCCAACATACATTTGTAGAGTTTCAGTGCCCAAACCAAAGTGTTAATGCTCTGAGGTTGGACTTTAATGCATCTGTGCTTGTTTTTTGTTTTGCATTGATAGATTCTTGCTGATTTAGTCTCAGGCGTTGTGTCTTGGACACTGGACTATTTCAGGGATAACCTTCTGAACTGGATCTGCAATAGAGGAGGATGGGTATGATTTGATAAACACGAGAATATTTGTACTAGCACAGCATAGCATTGAAAAGACATCAGTAATAGTCACTCTTTTAAATACCTGCAGATCAACAGTATCTCTTCCTTGGCTCATTACTCCTTTGAGCGAGATTTTGGTTCCTCATCCAGCCTGATCTCCCTCTCCTCTGGAGTCCTCTTCATCAGTGGAGTACTGCTGGGTGGCCTCATTGTCTGGAGACTGAACAGATGTGCCTGAGGAGGGTCAGTGAAGGACTGATGAAGTGAGAAAAGGGGGAATGCTGGGATTTACATATGCAACGGACCAAAAATAATGATGATCTGACCAAGTATAAGAGAAGGCTGCTTGGCAATATCATGCACAGTAATCAAGTGTAATATATTATAATGAATAGTGTAGATCTGATAGGAATTACAGACTGTGATTTTATTTTTTTGTTTGTTTGGCTGTCTCAGTCCATGTGAGTGAGGAGGGATAAAATTAATCCAAAATGGGAAGTATAGCAATAACTAACAAGACTTGAAATGTTATAGGTGCTGTGCCAAGACTTTGTCTATGCCCACTGTTATTGTAATCTCTACCTCGTCTATAAAATGTATATTAGAAATGTATAAATAACCCTGTAACTACAGACTAAATAACTATGTACTATAAATGTGTTAAAAAATTACATTGTTTCATTTGAAATGTAATTGTTACAACTTTTCCAATAATGTAGATTATGAAAGACCAATGCAAAAAGCCTGCATTAAATAAAGTCCTTCCCACAAACCCATGAAGGTACATGTAAAGGAAAATCATTATTAAAAATTATTTTGATGTTTAATTAGCATGTAACAGAATTATTTACATATGCAACGGACCAAAATTAATGATGATCTGACCAAGTATAAGAGAAGGCTGCTTGGCAATATCATGCACAGTAATCAAGTGTAATATATTATAATGAATAGTGTAGATCTGATAGGAATTACAGACTGTGATTTTATTTATTTTTTTGTTTGTTTGGCTGTCTCAGTCCATGTGAGTGAGGAGGGATAAAATTAATCCAAAATGGGAAGTATAGCAATAACTAACAAGACTTGAAATGTTATAGGTGCTGTGCCAAGACTTTGTCTATGCCCACTGTTATTGTAATCTCTACCTCGTCTATAAAATGTATATTAGAAATGTATAAATAACCCTGTAACTACAGACTAAATAACTATGTACTATAAATGTGTTAAAAAATTACATTGTTTCATTTGAAATGTAATTGTTACAACTTTTCCAATAATGTAGATTATGAAAGACCAATGCAAAAAGCCTGCATTAAATAAAGTCCTTCCCACAAACCCATGAAGGTACATGTAAAGGAAAATCATTATTAAAAATTATTTTGATGTTTAATTAGCATGTAACAGAATTACATTTATCATGGAATGCTAACAAAAAAATGAGCAAAAACAGAAAAGTAATTGGATCCCAGAGTAACATGAAAAAATCACAACAAACATTTGAAGAATCACACAGGACACGTGTTGAAAATTTTGGCATGAGCTTTTAACATTTTTATTGACTTTTTGATAACTTTTTGTTTTTAAATTGGATTTCATTTTTCTAATTGTTATTATTTTTTTCCTATCTGTAATGGAGAAGATTTGATCAGGTAGGTTAGCATTCACGTTCAAACTTCCATACTTTTAATAATATAATGATTTTTAAGCCTCAGTTTTCACAAACTGTTAAATTATTACAGTTTATTAATTTTTTTCTTTATACATTTCAAAAATATAAAAGGTAAATAATAAACATTCCATTGAAATATATTTTATACAGTTCTTGATATTTTTTTTTCCCTTTTTTGTATGACAATATAATTGTATCCAGCATCAATCTTAGTAGCATAGAACTCATCCATTTCTTTTAGGAACCTTCTCTTTCTCACTGGCCTCTCTTTCTCTCTGTCCCTGTTTCTTAACTTGGGGGGTGTATGGTTAGGCTTGCGCTCAGCAGTAGACACAGCTGCTCCATTAGCTGTGATAGTGCAATGAATTCCCCCTTCAAACAAGCTACATAAAGTAACTAAAGTAGAAAAGTACAGGTAGTGCATATTGGGTCAAACTATACTATAATAAATGCACAGACACATGTGGTGATAACTGAGTTCCTGCAGGCTGTTTTGTCGACATCTGCCTTCACAACTGCTGCATCTGTTCAGCTCTGAGTCTGTGGAAGCTCTAATGAATATTTACTACAGATATATACAGATAAATATCATCTTAAAAACAATATATAAATATGTAAATTAAACAGAGTCTTTCAGAATGGCTAGCGTATAGCCACAACTTATATTTGGCATGGCTACATTTTGAAGAGAAAGGGATGTGAGAGAAACCAGAAACAATATATGCTCTTTCTTCCTCTCTAATTGTCTCAGAAAGAGAAGTCGCAGAGTAGAGAGCCCAGGTGAAAGAGATGGTCACCTCATTCTGGCCATTCACAAATTATTCACAAGTTACGTCCTCATTGTATTCCATGCATGCATTATAATTCAACTTCAAACAATATGATAGAAAAACACAAGAACAAGGGATGCAAAAAAGCTTCTTCCTCAAAAATATAGAAGGAGAGGGAACAGACGAGAGGGGGGAGGGGATGCAAACAGGAAGTTGAGAAAGCGTGAAGACTGATTCTGGCTTTGTTCTGCTCCTCTCTGATATGTTTTGTATTTGGGTTTCAAGTAATGGTGTGTTGAGCTGTCAGCCATCTGGAGGGGTTGCGGTCTCATTCACGCTAAGACAAGCATTCGCAGAGAGAGCATCTTCAATTGATGTGGCCGGTTTGTGTACACATCCAGGGAACAGTTTCAGGCACACTGGATTTCTAATTAGGGATGAGATGAACATGTCCCCCAATTCCTAATGACGACAATGAGAAAAAGGTGGCCCTACGTCATTATTGCTCCAAAACACCATCCAATCGGACTTTATGAACGACCAGAGAGGTACACGTCATCTTAACCAGTCAGCAAATGCATTGCAATTTGGAACTGAGTACCACGTATAAAACAAGTTCTTGTAACATAGATGTCCTACAGACCCTCTGAGATGAGTATATGCTTACATATAAATGTATATGTTAACTCTGAAAGTGCATGAGTGTCTTCCTGCACCAGGAAGCACGCAGAAAAGACGTTGCAAAAAACATAAAACAGGCCTGACGTATTAATTGAAGGGAGAGGAAATTCAGTGCACCACTAAGGAAAGTGAAATGGCTACTACAGCTGCATACATCTGTCGCACCTTCAAGCTACTCGGACCAGCTGCTAACGTTTGAATTAAAACTACACGGTCAGCAGATAATGCTGGCTCTTGTGGTGATGGAGCTGCATCTGTGTTGTTTTCCTCCCTGGACACACAGCACCGGTAAACAGACACCAGCCTGCTGGTCTGAGCACATGGTGTGTGTGTGTGTGTGTATGTGTGTGTGTTTGTGTGAGCTGCTAAGGTCTTGATTAGGTGTTGCATAGGTAGTTACTAAACTAAGCTAACATCTGATTCTTAACGATGAGTGCTGACAGAATACAGTCATGGTGTTTTAAGACAGGAAATGACACTTTAAATACCTTAAAACACCTAACCAGACTAACCAACTTTTGAAAAGTAACCTCGTATCTTGTTGAAGAAGACACCAAATGTTTTAAACAAACAGTTACTCACATGTGTAATCTATGATTTTTAAGCGACATTGGTGGAATCATGGTCTCCTCTCACACAAGATAATGCTAATACTGATGCTAATATCAGAAATCTGCTGCTAAGTTCATAAGGAAGTCCATTTTGGTATGGCATGGCTGGTTTTAGTGGGTGCTCAGCATATGCAAATCTTGAAACTTTCAAAATAAAAAAATATTAAATGACTGAAACAAAATCTTGTCAAAACCTTGTAATGCTCTGTAAGCAAAATCAACTACAGAATAAAATTAACGCTAATGTCAACATTTGAAACAAACTCAACATAACTTAAGAACTACAAAACCATGTTCAGCTTTCTGAATCAGCACGGTCTCCTGAGCACCTTTGAGCTCATACGGTGGCGCTACTCTCACATTATGGCTTCCTGCTTGAAAAATAGTGCTTTGCGATGTAAGTGCTCTTGGTCTCAAGACACAGCAGTTCACACAACGCTAATATTCATTAGATTGCTATGAAGTGGACGCAGGCTCACTTTCGATGGATAAAGCTTTGATTTACCCACAGAATGTGGATGAAATAAAAAGTCAAACATCGCAAGTCAACCCAAAACTTTCCATCAGGACTCAACTTAAAAAGAAAACTTCACCCACAGCCTTAAAATCCCCTTCAACCTTACTCTTCAGACCCATAACCATCAAAAGAAAAGAGCCCTATAGGTGTCGGAGATCTCCAGAGGAGCTGTCGTGCCACTGCTGGAGGCTGCCATGACTGAGGGGGATTGTGAAGGGCAGAGCAGAGAGCCAGGAAAGTTCAAGTAAAGGGTGAAACGGCGGACAAAGAGAAGGGAAGAAATGTCACTTGAAGCCATTGAGGAAGCAGTAGTAGTTGAAGGAGTTTGTCTCATCATTCAGCTAGACTCAGTGGGGTTTGTTAATCTTTTATCCAACAAAACTGTGTGAATCTTGCAATCCTATATATTTGTACATTATTCTTTTTTTTTTTTTTAAAAACAAAATATAGAGCCTCTCTTTTATATATTCTTTTTTTTCTAAATTTAGTAGCATTTAGCATAAACTTTTAATGTTTCCATTTGATTTCGGTGTTTAGTGATTTCAAGCCCTCTAATTTGGGGTTCAGGGCTTGCAGAAGTCATGCAGTTTAGTCATGCTGGTAAACAAAGTGAGAAAATGCATTTTTAATTTTCTCTTTTCTTCAGCTTTTGTTTAAAGTTCACCCAGTCCACTTAAAAAACCCTCTGTCCTTCATCAGGTATCATGCACTTATGTTGTATTTTCTGTTCCCCACATGAAGGTGAAAAAGGTGACCCCATCCACTGATCCAGAGTCACCCATATTGTACTGTGCAAACAGTGTGGTCCTGTCTACGGTTTCCTCTGGTTCCTCTCAGCATGATCTCTATCATTTTTCTCTCTGTTTTTTGTTTTTTTCCATTCATGCCATGCAGTTCATCTACAGTGGAACAGAAATGCTGAGATGCAGAGAACTAAACTAAGAGAGAGAGAAAAGAGAGAGGCTAACGCTCTTTTCTTCATAGTTGACAAAGTCGCCTTTCTGTGAGCCCTGAGAAGGACACTCTGAACAAGATTTCCAACTGGATGAATGGGGAAACGGTACGATATAGGAATATGGCGGGTCAATGACGCCAC